CTGTGCATTTCTTTGTTTATCTAGCATTCATCTTCCTGCCGGTCCCAGATCATGAGCTTCATGAGGCTCCGTCATCACAATCACAATCCTGAAGCCCAGGGTGGTGCCTGGAGCCCAGCTGGCATTCTGTCCATATTAGCGGGATGAATGAATGAGCACCCCTCTTTTCTTCTCTATGCCTGCCCTCTTCTTTCCACCCCTGCCGCCATCTCTTCAGCCTCCATCTTAAACCTGCTGGCAGGATCAGCTCTCAGGAAGTTGTAAGGCAGGTGAGGTTCGCGGCTCCTCTCCCCATGTCCCTTGCCCAACCTCTCTCCTGAGTATCTCTCTCCCACCTGCACCTGGCCACTGCCAGCTCCGGCCTTCCTGGTGGGCAAGACCCAGGCTCCAGCAACTCAGATGGTTGTAGGGAAATTGGGAAGTGGGGCCAGAGGGAAGGTTGTAAGAAAGGCAGGGCTGCCAGGTCATAGAGAATAGAAGGTCATGTGGGGCATCCTTTAGCACCTGGACCCAGCTTCTTGCCTTTCCCACAGAAATCAGCACTGGCATTGTAGGGACTCAGCACCCCCCTCCTCCCTACTGGATGCCTCCTCCCTCCTGCCCTGATCCCACCTGCTGTTCCCACCTCTCTCCTTCCTGGCTTCTGCTTCTTTGTGTAATAAACTTGGGCAGAGAGAGCCAGCTATGTACCAGGTCCCACACTGGCATCACCCCAGCCCACCTGGTGTGCACCCCCTTTGCTCCTTTTCTTCCACCGCCTCTCCTCCCTGCCCCTCCTGGTCCTAGCAGCCTGCAAAGCTCAGCTCAGCTGGATGCCCCCTGCTCCCCTGGAGCCTCACACCCCCTCAGGTCTCTACCACTCTAGTGGCAAATGATCACATACTCCACAGCAGTATTTTCCACTTGACTCCCCAGAAAAGATTACAAACTTTGAGGGTAGGTGCTGCATCTTAATCTTAGAGACCCAATCTACAAGGACCCAGGCAAACAGCTTCTTTTCCTAGAAGCCAGCTATTCCACTCCTTCTTCCCATGGTCATCCATACACCTCAGTCCATTCTGTCTACCTAATCTCGTGGGAGAAGGAATCCTGGATACATTGAAAGCTATGTAACCAGAGTGCGCATTAGGCACCTACTGTATGCTGGGTACTGGGGGTGCCCTGGTGAGCGGCGACAGCCCAAGTCCCTGCTCTCCTGGGTCTTACAGTCAGGGGAAGGGGAGAAATTAATCAAACAGTTATATGAATGAATCTATCACTGCCTCACTACTAAGGTGAGCTCTCTGAAGGACTGGAGCATTGCTCTGAAAGATAAAGCATGGTTTGGTTGGTCAGGAAAAGTGGCACTTGGCTGAGACCAGCAGGAAGAACACTCCTTGAGTATCAGGCATGCAAGGAGCCTCCCAGAGGGGCAGGCATCTGAAAAAAAGCATCTGAGTCCCAGCCATTCCACAGAAAGCTGTATCTCTTATACTTGCATCTGTAACACCATGTAATTGATTGCTCGAACAGGATATTTTTGAGGGTAAAAGTGGGAGCTGTTAATAATTTCACTGGGCCAATAGGTGTCAGTGCCTGGACAAATCAGGCACGTGGTTGCATTAATTAAGAGTGACAATCCCCCTGCTTCCTGCCTCTCTACCGATGACAGGAACTTCAACTGTTGGTCAGAGCTGCCAGAAGGCTGACCTTTCGCCTGCCCTTGGACAAGGGAAAAGACAGAGGATGCTCTCCGGGAACATGGAGGTGGGGAGGGGGTCCCAGAGCTAGAAGCAAGGATCAGGAGCTAGGGCAGGCCCGTGTCTCAGAGAGCAGGTGGGACGTGGGCAGGGGGCACTAGTTTCCTGCTGCAGTGACTCTGAGCTTGGTGTGTGAGCTCTCCACCATCCTCAGCTGCCCAAGTCCTGCCTGCTTTGGGGCAGGCAGGGGAAGTTTGGGTTCTCGTGGCTTCTTTGAGTTTCTTTTGCTCTACCTCCTTGTGTAAAGATGGCCTGATTTGTATCTGGAGTATAGGTAGAGCCTGATGGGTTGTGTGTGCATGTGTGTGTTAAAGAGAGAGAGAGAGAGAGAGAGAGAGAGAGAGAGAGATGTTGTTTCCCTCTGCCCCTCTGTCTGACTCCCAAGACTATTAATACAAACCCAACCCCAGTCTGGCTGTGCCACCAGAACATGTGCTCCCCACAGCAGAATGCCACCCCTCCCAGCTGAGCCTGTTGTCTGTTCCGTTTCTGATCGGCGCCAGGCTCATAGACCCCATGTAGGTAGAATATAACTTTCCATAAATAACCCCTAGCCTGACCTACAATTTAGGCTTTGGGTTTTTTTCCCCTCGTGGTAATAGGATCATAGCCTGGGCTGATCCCTCCTGGGTCTTGGGGTCCCAGAAAGCAGACCCTAGGTGTATCGGGCCGGGCATTGCTTGGAACTGCCGGTTCCCCCGTGCCTCCTGGCACATGGTGAGGACTTGGAACGTGTCGAGGAATGTGGCAGATCAGTCTCGTGCCTCCACGAACAGCCGCGCAGCTTCAGCCCTGGGGCACCTAAGGTGGCACTGTGCCACCTTCTCCACCGGGCGAGCTTCTAAGCAGCACTCACCTCTGTGAAACCTTCCCTAAGCTTTCCTCCTTGCTCCTATCACTATGTGAATTGCCCTGTGCTTGATCCCATAACACTTTGTACAGACAATGTGACCTGATGGCTTGCCCACATGCCCACCAGGTTCTGAGCGGCTTGAGTGGGGGTCAGAGCAGGAACTGCACCCACATCTGGCTGTGGGCAAACATTTAACCCCTTGGTGCCCCAATTTCCTTAAGTTCGAACACAAGCCTGGCTCCAGAGCCCGTGTCCCCATCCACTGTACCACACGGTCTCTGGGGGCTGGACCTTGTATCCATTTCCTACCTGTTTTCATTCCCAGCTCTGAGACACTCCTCTCGGTGCATAGATTCCCTGCAGGTTCTTGCTGGAGCCTCCTCAGGGCCTGGAGACAGAACACCCACTGACAACTGTCAGAAACTTGCTGGTGATGATAAGGAATTTAGGAGGGTTTGCTGGGAGTCAGAGTGAAAAGTCATCGGGGTTGGGGAGGGTTTTGGGGTGGGGTTACCCCTAGAGGGGCTGGACTGGATTCAGAGCTTGGAGTCATCTCTCCTTGTTGCCATTGAAGAGTATTTCTTGTGTGTCAGCCGGTGTCCAGCACCGTGAGACATCTTGGTGAGACAAGATTGAGAGAAGGACAAGACTTTGTCCCCTCTTGTAAAGATCTTACATTTTCACCAGGGAGGTGTACAATTCACGTTTGGAGAAACACAGAGCCATTCCCCCCCACACCCCCACCATGAGCTGGAACTGAGTTGTGCTTGGCTTTTGTCTGTCTCAGTACTAAGCAGGGCTCGGCCAGGTGAGGCACGTGAGCCATGAAAGAATATTGAATGGAAGGCATAGGATCTGAACCCAAAGTAGTGGCACAGATAAAGGGACTGGGGCATCTGAGGAGAGATTAGCAGGGATTGCAACATCCCCCGAAGCTTCAGGCTCAGAGGTGACAAAAACATGAACTCTATGGAAAGAGCAGGAGTCGTTGGCAGTGGTCTGCAGGCATGGGGGTAAACTAAGGCAGGGATGAGTGTAGTAGTGCAGCGTGGCCATTTGGGAGTCAGGAAGGAAGTTTGGTAGAGTGGGGGCAGGGATGGGAATCTAGCAGAGGAAGGCCTCACAGGTCAGGTGGAGACACCGGAACTCATCCCAGGAAGGAAGAGCTACGGAAGGATTGTGAGCAGGGGCGTTGGTGCAATGAGAGCCTTGTTTCTGGAAGACAGTGTGGCGGGCAGGAGGCTTAAGGGAGACCAGGCTGAAGTTATCACGATGGCCGCGGTGAAGGAATGAGGTCTAGGTTTGGAAAGGAAGGGACAGACACGACTTTTCAAAGGGAGGACATAATTGTCACCAGGACCACAGTGGCACAGTCAAAGGTGCCTCCAAGGTTGAAGTCCCAGCAACCAAGGAAAGGATGTTAACTTTGACAGAAATGTCTGTGTGTGGTTGTCAAAATGAGACCACATCCTCTCGGAAATGATTCATTGTCTTTATTAACAATGCCTCTGGATTTGGAAAGAACAGACTGGTATTTCATAAAGCAATATTAATGTTGTCATTTCTCTACAAGAAAACTTTTTTGCATAAATAACTTAAGTGAGAAAATAAATATGTAACTTAACTCTTTTTAAGAACCACTACTTTCATTCTTGTGGACAAATCCCACATGAAAGGATTGCAAAAATGACCAGCCCGGCAGGCTTTCACATGGCATGTGCTTCTGTTTAAAAAAAGGGGGGGGGTTCTTCTTCTTCTTTTTTTTAACAATTAAAAACTACACAGAAAGTAAGAGGTGTCTGGAAATGACTTTCAGAAAGATTTTTGGATGACAGCTATTAGGCCCTGCGGTTTTCTCAGCATATGTACAGCACTTGTCATTTTCCCCCAAGTAATATGATTTTAATGTAAGATATGCCATCACAGGTAACAGCACTAAGAAGCGAGTTTCTAGACAGAATTGTGTCTGTGAGTGGAAGGCAGGCGGAGGTGCCTCCAAATGGATCTGCTTGTCTTTGAATGGGTGGTGGCTGCTCCCTTGGGCCTGCAAGCCCAGTGTCCTGGGGTTTAGAGCTTCTCTGCAGAGGTGACTTTAAAAAGTGGCCATGGTGGGGGGTGCTGTTCTTTAGGAACAGGGGGGTGATTTCTGTCCCCACCCATACTTCTCTCCCCACCACCCCCAGCCTTGGGACCTTCTCCTTTGCCTCAATTGGTGGGATTGTTTGTGCATCCTCTGAGATGGAGGGGTGGAGGTAGGCAAGCATCTGGGGAGGCCAGGCTGGAAAGAAACACAGTTTCTTCCGGGAGTTTGTCAGCCATAAAGAAGACTCCCCCCCCCCCCCACACACACACACCCCACTCTTGTTTTTCACCTTTGCCTGTCAGATCAGAGGATTACAACTCTGAATTCTGGATGTGACCATGGCAGTAATTCAATCCAACCTCTCCTTTGCCCATTCAAAAGGCACCCAAGGCCTTGGAATCACATGACATTAGATTCCTCGAGATACAAATCGCAGCCCCACCTCCATTTTCCAAAGAAGAAAACCGAGGACAGAATCTGGACAGAAAAGAGCGTGGTCTAAGGTCTTCCAGCAGGTCAGTGGCAGAGTCCGGACTAGGAGCCCTATCTATGAACCCCAGTCCTGTGTTCTCGGCACAACGAGGCGCTAACGGCTCTATGAGGGGCAGAGGAGTGGAGGAGGAATCTTAGCGAACTTTCTTAACCAGTCCCCGGACTCTCCTCATTCCCCACCGCTCCCTTAGAACCCCCGGACGGTGGAATGCTTGCTTTTCTGCCTCCTCTGAAAAGGGACCAGCAAAGGTGGGCGGCCCCGGTGGGCGGGGCCGCGTGGCTCAGTGTGTGTGACTCTCGGGGCCCTCCCCTGCCCTGCGGGACCCCCTCCGGACGCGGGGGACTGGGGGGGCTCTGCTGGCACCCGGGATCCGCAGCCCGGAAGGTCTCGGCGCCCCTGCCCTGGGTTGCAGGCATTTACAATGAGATACAAACAATCAGACCGCGCGCAGAGGGCAGAAACCGGGGCGCCAGGGCCGGGGCGCGGGTTGGGGAGCGCGGCGGCGGGCGGCCTCTAGTAGGCGTTCTCCAGCTCGGCCTGGTTGGCTTTGGCGCCCCGGGCGCGGGGCCGCGGCTTTCGGCCCTTCTGCGGCCGCGCGGCCTCGGGCCCGAAGTCCTTGAGCTCGGACTGGTTGTGGAAGCGGGTGAGTCGCTTGCACTTGCACGAGGCCACCAGGCGCACTTTGCGCGCGCGCGGCGCCGCGCCCCCGGGACACAGCAGCTGCACCCGCTGCGCGCGGTAGCGGTCGGGGATGCAGCGGAAGTCGGGCCCGCTCGGGCGCCACCACTTGCCGCGGCCGATGGCGTTGGGCAGCAGGCGCGCGGGGCCGCACTGGCCGGAGCACACCAGCTCGGTGACCGGCTTGGCGCTGCGGCACGGCCCGTCCGTCACGTAGCGGGTGAAGTGCAGCTCGCGGCAGCTGTACTCGGATGCGTCTGCGGAGAGAGGGCGCGTGAGACCGGCCCGGCTCCCTCCACGCCACCAGCGCACTGCCCGACACCCCCCCCCCCCGCCCCGCTCCGTCCCCCTCCACCCCCCTTCACCCTGGGCCTTTTCCAAACCTGCCTCCAGATGCGTTTGCCCCTGGGGCTGCTGGAAAGACCTCGGGGCCACCCTTTCCCCCTAAAAGTTTGAACCCAAGCGTCTGTTGCGGTTCCAATACCAACTCCATGGCTGTGTGATCTTGGGCAGAGCACTTCTCTGGGCTTCCCATCCTTGAAATGGTTTGTCCTAAGGACAAGGCAGGGGACGCTGTGGGCACATAGTAAGACTGGGGGTATTGGCAGTTGTTGCGTGTTCTGCTTCTTCTTCTTCTTCTTCTCCAAGGGGGCCTTTTTCTCCAGATAGAAGTCACATCTGTGTCACAGAGTGCCTGGTCTAGGCAGACTCGGTACTAGCCACACCCTTTGCATGGCCTTGGCTTCTCCTAAATTCTTTTTCCAGCCACTTGGGAGGGATGGCCAGGGGATAAAGGAGTAGGGGTTAATTGAAGGTAATAAATCAGGGCAGAAGCTGCAGAGGAGAGAGATGCAAGGGGAGGTGGGGAGGAGTCGTTAGACTTGAAAAGAGCCAAAGGCTGCTTGTCCAGCCCCCTCATCATCACTGAGGACAAGGAGGCCTAGAGAGGGAAAAGCACTAGCCCAAAAGGCAGAGCTGAGTGTCCTCACGCCACTCTCTTGGGGCCCCAGCACCTCTTAGTTCCCATAAGGGTGGAAAGGTGCCTGAGCACCCTTGTGGGAGGCTGGGCTGTGAGTGGGGGGCAAAGTGCTGCCTTTACTACAATGACTTCCCTACCGGAGGGCACGGAGCTCTGTCTGAAAACCTACAGGCTCAGCTGCCACAAACACTTATTAAGCACCTGCTGTGTACCAGGGATGCTGCTGGGCACATCTCTTGTTTTGTGCCATTTTAATGGATCTCTAATGGTGACACAGGCTTGCTCCTGGGTTGGGGGTAGATTGGATTCTGAGAACCTGGCTTGGTTCCCTGAAGACACCTTGATCAACTATCCTGCTGTGCGTTTAGACAGGTGGGGGCTTTTTTAAACAGCTGGTCCTCATGTGAGCACCTGTCTATCCCCCAAGAGTTTCATGGGGACAATTCTCATGTGACACAAAGGGATGAGAAATAGTCCTGGGACCAAGAGCAGAGAAGGCCAGGCCTCCATTCCCCAGCCAATGGGGAACAAGCGTCACAGGGGAGATGTGGGTTTGCCTTCCTTCAGTGGCTGACCTTCTGGTTTCTGGGCTGGGCTGGCATCCTCACCCCTGCTCCCAGGCTGCAGGGGCAGGGTGTGGGGGCGGCCTGTTTGCCCAGGGAAGGAGGCTTTTTAGGCTTTCCAAGAATAGTGCCCCTAGGTGAGGCACTTCCTCTGCAGAGGGTGACTTTGTTTTGAGCTTACAGCTAGCTTCCTTGGGGCCCGTGGCCTCTTATGGGAGCCTGGGAGGTGGACATTTTATACTTGGATCCCACACAGCCTATGAAGCAGTCACCTGAGCTCATTCGATCTTGCCCTGGGAGGAGCAGTGTGGTGGTGTGCTCCTGCCCCTCCATTTTTGATGACTTGAGGCCCCAGGCATCCTGGGGCTGCCCCCTTTCCAGAGCCCCACATTCCCAGCTGGTTAGGGAGCAGGAAGGGATGGGGCGAGAGGGCCTGGGCAGTGGACTCCTCTCCCACCCGGACGATGACTGGAGGGCAGTGAGGCCCTCACTCTGAAGTGTCATTCCGGCCCCCGCCCCCAGCCATTCCTGCCAGCTGCAGAGCCAGCTGTGCACACCCGCCCCCTAGGCTTCTCTGTGCAGACCTGACCAGGAACCCGGATGTGCCCTCCAGTAGGGCCATTGCCTTGCCACCAGGGTCAGCCTCCCTCCCTAGTAATAATGAGGCAAGGCTGGGTCTGGGGTGGGGACCTGGGAACAGATGGTGCCACCTGTATCCACTCCCTGCATAAAGGCTCCTACCCTGCCTCCAGGGCCCAGACGCAAGCTTCTACCCAGGCCAGAGGCCAAAACTGTGCCTAATACCTTCCATTCTCTCAAGTGCCAGCTCACTGTGCAGAGCAAGTGCGGCAGCAGGTGTGTCCTTTTCCCACCGCTTTGAGGGGATCTGCTCTGGCTCTCGGTCCCAGCACCCCCAACACAATCCCCCTACCCAGGGCTGTCTTGGAATGGGATCAAACCAGGGTCAAATCTTCTACTCACTACCCCATTACTTAGTGTCTGGAGATTTGGTTTCTTCACTTTCCAACTGGGAGTTCACATCATGGGGCTCCCATGTGCTGGATCCCTGGCGTATGGTTCAGGTACAGCCTGCATAGAGTGTCTACACCCAGCAGGTGCTCACAGGGGTGGGCCTCCCTTGCCTTGTCTCTTCTCCAGTGGAGCCAGCTGCCACATCGGACTCCTGGGTTCTCAGGAGGGGATTCTTTGAAACTGTCTCCTTTCTGAGGCTCAGAGACTATCCCAGAGTTATAGTCTCCCCGCCTTGGCCTCCTTCCTGCCCCAGCCTCCCGCTGCCAGCCTCATGCCCCCTCACTGGAATGCCAAGGCCATCTTGGCATGCCACCCTCCCCCCAACTCCCTCCATTAGTGCTGGCAGCTGCCAGTGGTCTACCCCAGGCTTCAAAACCTCCCAGAGAGAACCCTCCCAAGCCCCTCATGCTAAAAATGCTCTCCTCTATCCGTACCTTTGGTCTCAAAGGGATGGTGAGGGGGCCGCCCTCCGTTCTCCGCCCGGTTCATGGTCTTGTTGTTCTCCAGCTCTGGCGGAGGCTCGGGGTACTCGCCCAGCTCGGGGATGATTTCTGTGGCATCGTTCTTGAAGGCCTGCCACCCCTGGCCCTCCACTGCACGGAAGGCTGCATGCACCAGCAAGCAGACGAGACACAGAGCAAGAGAGAGCTGCATGGTGCCAGCCAGAGGAGGGCACCCAGCCTTCCAGCAGCACAGGCTCCGGTCCCCAGCCTGGGACCCGTTTGCCTTTTTAAAGCCCCCTCCGCCTGATGCCAACCAATGAGGACAGGCTGGGGCAGGGCTGGTCCCATGTTTCTCTCAGCCCAGGGGGAGGGAACGGGGTGTGCTCATGGCAAGCCCTCCCCGAAGACTTCTCAGGCACAGCAAACTCCCAAATTGCTGCTGGTGCTCCCAGGTGACCTAGAGGGAGGGGGAGTGTGTGTGTGAGGCAAGCCTGCCCTCCAGCACCTCCCACGTGCAGGCGGCTGTGGTTTTTAGATATCAAAATGAGCTCCAGCTCGTAATCTTTACCTCCTTGGGCCCCTTGGGCTTTCTCAAAAACAAACTTCGGACCAGCTTCACAAAGAAAACGAGAGCTCTGAGCCCACAGGGCTGAGCCCAGCCAAGTCCCTTTCTCAGGCCAAGTTCATTTGTTACCCCACCGATAAATGGCCCAAGGGGTATATCTTTGGCCCCCACAGACCCAGGCAGAAGAAGAAGGATGCTTTTTAAGAAATCGCATTGGTCCCAATTCCATGAGGTTAAGCATCGATTATCCTGACACGAAAGCCCCTGTTGGCACCCTCTGGAAGGCAAGAGAGAAAACTGGAGGGCACACAGGGAGGGCGTCTGCTTGGGCGAGGAGGTGAGGATTCTGGTTACAAGGCTAGGATGAGCAAGTCAACGACCATTGGCGATGGAGTCCAAGGAGGAAATCCTGGGGCTCCTGTGCTTGGTGACAGGTACTTCTTGGCCAAGACACAGCTGCTGCTTGCAAATTAATGTGCCAAAGGCAGTCATTTTCCTGGCCAGGCTGTGGCTAGGAATGGAGAGCGCAAAATCCCTTTTCTTAGCAAAAGCCAAGACCAGCATTTTTAGTGCTGACATCTTTTCCTTCTTCTCCATTTTTTTTTTTTTGTCTCCCAGCCCATTATATTTTTCAGCTTTGAATCCTATATGGAAAACCTTACTTACGCATGCAAACCTTATGCATGCTATGGGGTGCATTCCATGAAGGCATCCCAGGTCCAGCTAGCCACAAAGAAACCAAAAAGAATCTGCCTTAACCCCGGAGCAGAACGAGGGGCCTGAGGGAGGGGTAGAGGCATCAAGGAGAAACGTTCACACCTGAGGTGCAGGAAAAGAAAGGAGAGCAAGCGGAAGCTTTCACTGCAGATGACGGAGGAGACCCACCCAGCTCCTGGCCCCAAAGGAGGCTGGGAAGAGGGCTGCAGCCCAGGTCCCCTTGGTATTTTCACTGGGCAATGAATCAGCACGCCCCCACCTGCAGAGCCTCTAGGAGGCCTCTGCCACCTGCCTTGACTTGTAAGCGGCCGTGTCCATCTGCAGCCGTCTGTCCCTCCTATCCACCATCCATCACTCCACACATGAATGCAGCTGCTCTGACAGTTTTACAAGCCAGACAGAAGCCCCTGCAGGAAGGGCCCTCTCTGATACCTGTTTCCTAAGTCAGTTTCCTTCGGGGCAGACGAAAACAGCTGTGGCCATTGTTGGAGGTGATCTATCTCTCCCAACAGAGCCCCTGGGTGTTGTGAGAAGCTGGCCCTCTGCGCCCCCTCCCCCAGTCCCTGACCCTCCAGCCTCCTTTTCCCCTTGCTCTGGAATGTAGGCCGTTAACCCGATCGTGGCCGGACAATTGCCTTCTCGCCCTGGATTTGGGAGAAGGCAGTTCCGAGGCTCCATCCCTGGAGCTGGCGCGATGGGCGCTGGAGCCCCACCTGCCGTTGGGAGCTGCAGACCCATCCGTCGGAACCGGAGCCCGTGGGGGCCCATCCTCGGAGCACTGCTGCCACCTGCTGGAGACAGAAGGAAGAGCCAGCGGCTGCAGGATGGCGAGCGGTTTTCTTTCATTTCATTGTCTTATTTGAAACTGAAGTCGTGTTAAAAGAAAAAAAGAGAAGAATCCAGTGGATTTGAGCCTCTGAAGGGTGTCCATCCTTTTGAATTATTCTTTGCCAAGATAGAGCCGCGCTCTTCACAGAATGGCTCACGGAGAACATGCTATGATGCCATCCGCTTTTTCATTTCATGCTAATCCAGCTTTATATTTACTCACTTCAGGAGTTTGACTTTGTTCATAGTTAAACCCCCAGGGTTTTAGCTGACTTCTGTTGTGAGTACTTTACGTTATTTCCAATGCTCCCCTATCCTCAGTAAGGATGTTATGAACTGCGTTGTACGAAGTCATTTTGTAAACTTTTTGAGATCATTGTAAATTCACATGTACTTGTGAGGAACAAAACAGGGAAAATGCCATGTACCGTTTACCCAGTTTCTCTCAATGGTGACCGCTTGCAAAACTACAGTACAATAGAACCAGGATATTGACATCGATACAATCCACCAATCTGATTCAGATCTCCCCGATTTTACTCGCATTCATGTGCACATGCATAAGCTTGTGTGTTTCAGTCTATGTAGTTTTATCCCATGTGTAAGTTCCAGTATCCATCACAGTCAAGAAAAAGAACAGCCCTGTGACCACGAAGATCCCTTTTGTTGCCTTTTGAAAGTGGCACCTACCTTCTTCCCATGCCCTTCCTCTTCACCCCTAACCCGTGTCGTGCCACTAATCTATCCTCCATTTCCATATTAGTGTCATTTCAAAAGTGTTCTATGGAATCAAATAGGGGCGCCTGGGTGGCGCAGTTGGTTAAAGAAATCTCTCTTAATTGTGGCTCAGGTCATGATCTGAGAGTCCTGGGATTGGGCCCCACATTGGGCTCCCTGCTCAGCGGGGCACCTGTTTCTCCTCCCTTTGCCCCTCCCCCAGCTCTCTCATGCTCTCTCTCTCTCTCTCTCTCAAATAAGATCTTTTTAAAAATAGGGGGATCCCTGGGTGGTGCAGCGGTTTGGCGCCTGCCTTTGGCCCAGGGCGCCATCCTGGAGAACCGGGATCGAATCCCACATCGGGCTCCCGGTGCATGGAGCCTGCTTCTCCCTCTGCCTGTGTCTCTGCCTCTCTCTCTCTCTCTGTGACTATCATAAATAAATAAAAATTAAAAAAAAATTTAAAAAAAGATCTTTTTAAAAATAAAATAAAATAACTGGAATCAAATAGTATGTAACCTTTAGGACTGGCTTTTTTCTCTCCACATGATTCCCTGGAGATTCATCCTGGTTGTTGCATGTATCAACAATGTGTTCCTTTTTACTGCTGCATAATATTCCACAAAATAATTTTTAAAAGAAAACACCTTTAGGGTTATTTCCAGAAGCAAACACTGGGTCTGAGAGGGCGAACATTTGGCTGAGTGTTGCAGGGTTGTTCTCCAGAAAGCTCGTCCAGCTCCCCACTCCCACCAGTGATGTACAAGTAGACATATGCATAAATCGGCTAGGGCTACTGGAGCAAAATACCTCAAACCGGGTAGCTCAAACAACAGAAATGCATTTTCTCAGAGTTCTGGAGGCTGGAACCAGGAGATCAGAGTGTTGGCAAGATTGGTTCCTTGTGAGGACTTTTTTTTTTATTATTATTGGAGTTCAACTTGCCAACATATACCATAACACCCAGTGCTCATCCCGCCAAGTGGCCCCCTCAGTGCCCATCACCCAGTCACCCTAACCCCTCACCTACCTCCCCTTCCACTACCCGTTGTTCATTTCCCAGAGTTAGGAGTCTCTCATATTTTGTCACCCTCACTGATTTTTCCCACTCATTTTCTCTCATTTCCCTTTATTCCCTTTCACTAATTTTTATATTCCCCAAATGAATGAGACCATATAATGTTTGTCCTTCTCCGATTGACTTACTTCACTCAGCATAATACCCTCCAGGTCCATCCACGTCGAAGCAAATGGTGGGTATTTGTCGTTTCTAATGGCTGAGTAACCTTGTGAGGACTTGTGAGGAGAGTCTTGTTTCATGCCTCTGCCCTGGCTTCTGGTGCCTTTACTGGCAATCTTCGGCATTCCTTAACTAGAAAAGCTTCACCCCAGTCTCTGCCTTCATCCTCACATGGTGTTCACCTGTGTGCTTGTCTATGTTCCAATTCCCCTTTTTTAAGGACATCAGTCATATTAAATTAAGGCCCACCCTAATGACCTCCTCTTATCTAATTACATTGGCAACAGCCCTACTTCCAAATAAGGTCATGTTCCAATGTACTTACTAGGGGTTAGGATTTAAGATACGAATTTTGGAGGGGCACAATTTGGCCCAGAATAGCGTGCATCTCCACAAGGTTGCCAACACTGGGTTTGGGCTAAATATTTTTAAATTGCATTTAATAATTTAACAGCTGTATCTAAATTTCTAGCAAGGCTGTTTTTCTATACGCTGGTTTTCATTTCTACCACGCTGCCTGTTCATACGTCCACTTGACAAACATTTAATGAAGCAAGACCTCCTGCCAGGAGCTGTGAACTCATACGTGCTCCCCTCCAGGAGCTCCTGTACAGAGGAAGAAAATAGTTCTTCAGCAAAGAAAGTGGTTAGTGCCACTGAGGAAAGGTTCAAATGCAACTTTTTTTTTTTTTAAGGGACAAAGTGTTACAAGCCTTCAGAAGGGGAGAACAGTCTCTTCTGCCTGGGGTGGATCTTGGGATCATCACAGGAAGATGTGGCATTTGGACCACACTTTGAAAGACAGGCCAAATTTGGAAAGGAAGTTATGCTCCTTTGAATCCTCAGGAGTATAGAATCTATAGAAGCCCCAAAGGCATCTCTCTTCTTGGTTCTCAAGCCACCAGGCTATAATTCATGGGAACTGAGGGTTTTCCATATTGGCTGCACTTCTACCCAGGCTTTGCTCCCACAGGTCAGTGGGGGAAATGGAGTATCTGGATTTGGGAGGGTGATCTGATTATAGGCAGTTGTCTGCAGTGAGGGACACCCAAATCAGCCTGCCTTTATTCACAGTTGAGAGCTTGTTCCCTGGAGAGCATAGGGTCTTGACACAGGTGGAAAGTGGACCTCTCCTACCTGTTCATTCAGCAGCTTCTCAGGGACAAAGAAGGGAGGAGTCCCAAAGAGCCTTGTCACTCACCCCATCCTGCTTAGATGGGCTAACACTTTCCCCAGCGCTAACAGGATGGAACTTCCATGTCCTTTCTGGTAACCAGGCCCTTTGAGGGGGGTTCAACTCATCCCAGACCCTCCCCAACTGCCTCTGCCTGGAGGGCCCATCTGCAAACCCTAAAGAAAAAAATGTTCGTGACACTCGTTAAAAACTCGGTAAAGGGATCCCTGGGTGGCGCAGCGGTTTGGCACACGCCTTTGGCCCAGGGCATGATCCTGGAGACCCGGGATCGATTCCCACGTCGGGCTCCCGGTGCGTGGAGCCTGCTTCTCCCTCTGCCTATGTCTCTGCCTCTCTCTCTGTGTGTGTGTGACTATCGTAGATAAAAAAAAAAAAAAAAAAAAAAAAACTCGGTAAAGATGACTCTGCTCAAGGGGGGGATTCTGGGAATAGGGGTAGGAACCTCTGCACTGGGTCTTGCAGTGGCCAAGAGAGACTGGGTTCAGCTCTGAACGCAATAGGAGCGGGGTGAGGTCAGTGCATGGAAAGTTACTAAGAGGAAACAGGAAAGGTAAGGGAGGATTCTGGCTAAACCAACCTAACCAGCCTGATTGCTGCTGAAAGCAGCCCGGGTGATGGCCCGGCTTGCGGGACGGTGGGGGTGAAGAACCCGATTAGATATTGGGGATGATGGTATGTGGAGGTTTTGGGGATGATGGGATGTGGAGGTTGGGGGGATTCTGACTAAAATGGGACAATAGGAAGACAAACATGGGAGTCCAAAAGTCGGGGCCTAATTGAAAAAGAGAGAATGAGTAAAGTGTGGTCCAAGAGAAGCTCTGTCCCCCATGTGTTTGGAGACTGACTTCCCTCCTCCAAGCCCAACTGCACCTGCCTTCTGCTTCCCATTCTCTCTCTTTTTTTTTTAACACACACACACACACACACACACACACACACACACACACATATATATATATATTTTATGATAGTCACACAGAGAGAGAGAGAGAGAGAGAGAGAGGCAGACACAGGCAGAGGGAGAAGCAGGCTCCATGCACCAGGAGCCCGATGCGGGACTCGATCCCGGGTCTCCAGGATCGCGCCCTGGGCCAAAGGCAGGCGCTAAACCGCTGCGCCACCCAGGGGTCCCAACACATATATTTTTTAATTGGAGTTCGATTTGCCAATAAATAGCCCATTGTCCTCTTGAATTCCTTTTCTGCCCTTTCTGCCTCTCAGGGCATCTGTCCCAGTGCTCCAGACACTGGGTAAATCCACCAGAAGGCCATCTAATTCCTGGGCTTTCACACTAGCTTTCTCAGAACCCCACATTTCCACAGGGATGTCTTATGGTTTTAAAAATATGTACATTTCGGAGCGACTGGGTGGTTCAGTCAGTTAAGCATCCAACTCTTGATTTCAGGTCAGGTCATGATCTCAGGGTCATGGGATTGAGCCCTGTGTTAGGCTCTGCGCTCAGTGTGGAGTCTGCTTGAGATTCTCACTCCCTCTGCCCCTCCCCCTGCTCACACACGTGAGCGTGCTCTCTCCCTTTCCAACTCTCTAAAATAAATAAAATCTTTAACAAATAAAAAAATGTACACCTCAGTTATTTAAAAATATAATAAAGGGAAAAAAGGTAAACAAACCATAGGACTCTTAGCAATAGAGAACAAACAGGATTGATGGAGGGATGTGAATGGGGTAGGGTCTAGACAGGTGATGGGTACAAAGGAGGGCACTTGTGATGAGCACTGGGTGTTGTATGTAAGAGTTGAATCCCTGAATTTTACTCCAGAAACTAATATTGCACTGTATGGTAACTAAGTAAAATTTAAATAAAAATATAAAAACACACACATTGCTTAAGTGTGGTGTGTATATGCTTTTAATGAACTGGAGACCACCCATTCATTGTGTTGCCTCTAGGTTAAGTCATTTTATTTTTTTTTAACATTTTATTTATTTATTCATGAGAGACACACAGAGAGAGGCAGAGATGTAGGCAGAGGGAGAAGCAGGCTCCTTGTGGGGAGCCGGATGTGGAACTCAATCCCAGGACCCCGGATCACCACCTGTGCCAAAGGCAGCTGCTCAACCACTGAGCCACCCAGGCACCCTAGGATAACTCATTTTAGTGTAGACTTCCAAAACTGAATCTCTGTGCATTTGAACTTCTTGTAAGTGGGTCATCAATTCAGAAGGCCATAGCTCATAGATTGTCTTTCAAAAACATAGGCTTGGGCATGCCACCCCTATAAAATTATCCTTTTTTAAAGTAATCTCTACACCCAGTGTGCGGCTCAGACTCATGACCCAGAGATCAAGAGTTGTTCACTCTGATTTGAGCCAGCCAGGCAGCTCCTACTCCCACCCCCCTAAAATTATACAAGCAAGCGCAGATCAATCCTCCTTAGCTTTGAATATTGGGATGTGCTTGATACTGTGCCACAGTAACAGACAACAGAAATTAACAGGATACAAAGCAGATAAACTGCAACTGTTATTCATAAGTCTTATTTCAACATTGTGTTCTTTATTAAAGCAGCCTGGACCTTTAAAATTAGAGTATACAGAAATCAGTACACCATACACAATGGAATGATAGGTAGCTAGTTAAACGAATGGTGCTGTAAGAAACAAATGTTTATTAAACAAAAAAGCAAAGTGCAGAACATTTTCCATGGATATCTCTATACACACACATATATTTATGTGTACTTACATATTCATGTAATTTTTCTTGAAGGATATACCTGTTAATAGTGGCTTCCTCTGAAAAGAGGGATTAAAAGTCTGGGGTAGGAGACTTACCTTTTGTGATAAGCTTTTCATATTGTTTGAATATATATATATAATTAATTTAATTAAGAAGGTAAATATATATTTATATATTTACCTTCTTTTACCTTCTTAATTAAAAGGCTTTTAAAATTACATTTAAAAACACTTTTACCGGGATCCCTGGGTGGCGCAGCGGTTTGGCGCCTGCCTTTGGCCCAGGGCGCGATCCTGGAGACCCGGGATCGAATCCCACGTCAGGTTCCCGGTGCATGGAGCCTGCTTCTCCCTCTGCCTGTGTCTCTGCCTCTCTCTCTCTCTCTCTGTATGACTATCGTTAATAAAAAAATTAAAAAATAAAAATAAAAACACTTTTACCAGTTTCACATGTTAGTGTTCTGCCTCAAAATTCTATGCAAGTATATAAAGATTATATTGCCAAAGAGGTTTGACAAATAATGAGTTAGACTAGTTGCCTCTGCTATGGGGAACTGGAGAAGAGGGTTTATTTTCTTTTGTTTTAAAGATTTTATTTAGGGGCGCCTGGGTGGCTCAGATGGCTCAGCATTTGCCTTTGTTTCTGGTCATGATCTCAGGGTCCAGGGATTGAACCCCATGTCGGGCTCCCTGCTCAGGAGAGTCTGCTTCTCCCTCTCCCTCTGGGATCCCAATGTGGGACTTGATCCCAGGGCCTGGAGGTCATAACCTGAACTGAAGGCAGATGCTTAAGGCAGACATTTAATGGACTGAGCCACCCAGGTGCCCAAGAAAGAGGTTTTTTTGTTTGTTTGTTTTTTCTGCCAGGGAGAAAAGGGACCGAACTCTGAGTTTTTTTATTCAGAGAAAAAAAAACAATGCTTATTATAAGGGAGATAAATGCTAATAATAATGGAGTTTAACACATCTGAGGGCAGGGCTAGGTTTGGGGGCTGCCCGTTTGCAGGATCATTCAAACTCAAAATGCAACCTAATCATCTTCATGTGAGGCCACCATGAGACTATCATCCCCAGTATCTCCTTTCTTAGGAACATAAATCTACTTCCCTCAACAGGATGGGGCTCTCTATTCAAGAATATTCCAGTCAATTATCCCTCAAAAAAGCTGCAATTTTTTTTTTAGAAATTAAATAAATAAAAAGATTATTCTTGTCATGGGGAATTTCTGGTACTGGCAAGATGTTTAATCAACATCTACCGTGTAAATATAATCATCATGGAACTGAGAACGTGTTCGGGAGGGCTAATTTTTAGATGACGCTATTTTTAAAAGTTAGAAAAAAGCAAACATAAGAGCATAAAAGAAAATCAGCTGTGTCAAGAAGGACAAAAAAGGCCACTTCTATGTAATGTAAGACATTTATTTTGGTTACAGTTAGTGTTTTAACACTGATTTGTGATACAATAGACATTAAACTTACTTTCCTTTAAAACCAAATTAATACCTTCCGCTTTTCTATTCAGAAAACTCAATGCTTTCACAATCAAATTGCCCTGAAAGCTGACAGGAGATAAGTTAAGCTTTCAACCACTCTGCGCTCTCAAATGGAGAGGGGCTCTATTTCCAAGCAGGATAAAATTTTGACTTGGTGAGACCAGTACTGTTGGCTCTTCAGCGGGTCCTGACACCGGTCTTATGACAAAATCTCCCAAGAGGAAAGCTCCTATCTTCCTATTTTAAGATCAGTGCTTATTTTGATTAAAACATTAGCATCTTAACATTAACTTGTGACACAAAAGGCACCAACATTCCCTTTCAAACCATCACCACGGGTGGAACACAGTGCCACCTGCTGGTCATCATATTACATACCCTATGATTTCCAGGTGGTGGTAAATTCCAGGTGGGGATTCTCCAGAGAACCCTACAGAGCCAAAGGGACCTTAGAGGTCTTCTAGAGGAGTCCCCTTGTTTGACACATGGTGATCTCTGCTCTCCAGATCACTCAGAGTGGCAGGGAAACAGACCAGCCTGTGGAAAGTGTACTGCTTTAGATTTGAGAAGAAAACCATTTGGTGCTCTAATTTCATCTAAGTGGGGGTCTGCTAGTCAAAGAAAGGGATCAGGTCAGGGGAGAGGGTAAGGGCACCCTGAGTTCCTATTCCATCACCTCCCAGGGGGTAGAAAGCTGTCCAGAGACAGCTTCCACTCACAGCTGGGCATGTGCTGGCTCTTACAATAGAATTTTATTTTACTCAAAAATTAGGAGCTAAATCTCATGAAGTAAATATAGGGTTTTTGGGACCAAAGACTACCAAGAAATCCCAAGTTATCAGCATAAAAGTAGTCCCAAAGTAAAGGCAGTAATTCTCCCAAGCGCCTTTCCTCCCTCTTGCCCCCACAAAAAGGACTTCAAGAGGTCCTGGTTAACTAGTCTAAGTTGCTGTGGCAGCTATCCTGGGGGGTGACCACTGCCTAAGTGTGGGAGGGGGAGCCCTAGCCCTAGCCCTAGGGCTCTTCCAGGAGTAGAACAGAAAGCTCCAACTTAGGGATGTTTCCTGGAGGAAGAGCCACATGTTCTAACTGAATCGGAGACCCACACTTTCACTTCCTTTTGTCTGTGTCACCTTCCTACTCACCACAGCCTGGATGGTTGTACTCCATCCACAAAGCTATCTGGCTTTTGTGCACATGGGCTGGGTCAAGGGCATGTGCAGTGCACCTGGACACTCCCAGGGGCCTCCTTTCTTGAGGAGAGTAGTATGGGACAAGGACTTCAACTTCAGGGAGCAGCAAACTTGGAGCTGGGACAGCCCAGGCACCATGCCTTCAACCAGTTGGAACCGTAGTTTCTTTTTCTTAAAAGGTAACAATACATGAATAAGCTCTACCAACTTGATAGGGTTACTGAAAGGATCAAGTGAGTGTGAGTGGGACAGTTCTCTGGGAACTGTGAAGTGAGGTACACAGGTCAGAGGATGGCCATTTCATTGAGGGGGGTGTACGTGGGCAGTCCGGTATCTGGAAGAGACGACAGATCCTAGTTTGCTCGGGGTGGCTGTAGTCACAGAGGCAGGGGAATGTCCAGGCTGTGCACTGCTGGCCCTGCGGCAAGAGAGGCTATTACACCTCGGAGGGAGGCCCTGCGGCACCCTGCTTCTCCCTGTCTAGCCGGAAGCCCCTGGTCAACTTCTGAAAAAGGCACAATCCCCACCTCAACAGGTTAATACTGCCTGAATTTAAATTTAAAAGTGAATTTTATATACTTAACAGAAGTCCTTGGCTTTTCGCTTCTGGTAAGATCCCTTTTGCATATCCTTGCAAGTGATCCTACCACGAATTCGGGTTTATGGGAGCTTGATACACCCACCAGAACACCACCCTGCAAATATCTGGTGCTCAAAAGAAGTGTTTTATTCTGGAAACTTTTTTTAGACCTCTGCGTGCTAAGAGCTGGGGGTATGGCTGAGGACTACCTCTCCGTCAGGGAACCTGAAGATGATAGGAATGCATCACTTTCCATGGTGACAATCATCTAAAGTCCTAATATGACTGGGTTTGAATCAAAACTCCTACTTTCTGACAAATGTGCGTGCACGTGTGAGCGTTGAGTGCTAGTGCATTCTGACATCATCCTTTAAAAGTCCTAAAAAGGGTTGTTCCGGTTTCTTTGCTCTGCCACCAGCCAAGTCTCCATTCGGATGCTCCACCGTGTTTCATTTCTGCCTGGCTGAGACATTTTTGCTCCCAGGGCTCCCAGATCTTTCCTGGCACAGCAGAGCCAAAAGCACTACCTCTAAGTGGGCGGGGTGAGAGCCTGCTCCTCCATCCTCTGGCTGTGCTTCTGAGACACACACCCCCCTACACACCCACACACCCACAATGGAATTGGCTAACTCCCTCCTTCTGTCCTTGAAATAGCAACGGAGACAAAAAGCAGTTAGCACGAGTGGCTTGAGCTCACCAATGCTATAATTCAGGACAAAACCTTTGCAATTCTTCAAATGGTGGGGTTTTTAAATAGGCTGGAACTTCAACACCCTGTTTTCTAAAAAAATAAAATAAAATAAAATAAAACCACGCCTGAGGCATCGCTCTTCTGAGAGCAGTCCAGGGGAAATATTCCAAAGCAGCGAATTCTGAACGCAAGCCTTCCATAGGTTCACATTTTAACAAACCTATGGACTTACAGGAGTCCTCCAGGGGAATGTCTGCCCACCTGACGGCCTCTTTGTTTGGGTCTCTTTAATCCTACTGAAATACTTAAGATGCAGTCTCTTCATGGGAATTTCCACCCACTAACAACTGCTGGCCGGGGGACCAGCTTCAGACCTCACAATGCGCCTCTGCCTATGAGCAAAGTGTGGGCAGCTGGGAGGAGCCGGGGGAGACAGGCATGGAGGGGAGAGAGGGGCCTGCGTTTGCATAGTTCCCTTACAGGGCTCGAGGTGCTGAGGTCCCCACTCAGGAGGGGACCCCAGGGTGGGGCGTAGGGAGCCAGAGAGGGAGGCAGGGGGGCCACGGACATCAGGAGGGGCCCCACTGGGCATCTCGAGCCTTATCCTTCCACAGACCTCCTGCCTTGGGTCATCCAGGAGGAGCATGTATGTCACAGGCCTTCCCCCTCCGTGCCCCCACCTCAGGGAGAAGACATCAGAAACTGTAAGCCCGGGACACACCGGAGAGCAAAATGCCTTCCTTAGCAAGCTTCTTTATACGCTCCCCAGGGGGGAAGTGGCCCAGGGCTGTGTTGGGACAGACTTGTGGGCAAGTGCCTGGTGATGCTGGGAGCAGGGTACACTGTGTTTCCTAAACATGGCGGCTTGGGACACCTCGACCAGGGCCTCCCCTGTCTGCCGCTAGAGAAGAGGCAGCGGGAGTGCCCTAGAGTTTCAATTTCCCCTCCTTGACTAGTTTGTCATTGAGCTGGCATAGCTGGGCCAGGAAACCATCGTTGGGGCCGATCTCACGGTTCTGCCTCACGATGCTCAGGGCAGACTTGACATCCATCTTCTGACGCATCATGAGGTACGCGATAACTAGGGTTGGGGAGCGGCTGTAACCTTCCCGGCAGTGGACAAGGACCCGGCCTGAAAGAGACAGGGACGAGGGAGCGTGAGCTGGGGCCATCCCAACACAGCCCGACTCGAGTCAGAACTCTTCCGGGGGAAGCGCAAATGAAAAGTACAAGAGGCCATTGTGGACCCGCCCGGATGGAGAAGACGGAAAACACAAAGCATCAGCGAGGATGTGGAGCAGCAGGACTTCTATCTGTGGCTGTGCAGGGGGCAGTGTACGTGAGCACGTGGCTCTGTCGAACCACAGGGCAGTACGTACTCAGGTTGACACATGCAACCCCCAGGGCCCAGCAGGGAGGTGCACGTATGTCCACCAAAGGCACGCACCAGAATATTCATAGGACAGCACTGTTCCTAGTGGCCCCAGCTGGCAGCTCCCAGAGGCCCTTCAACGGCAGGACCGATAAACAGTGTACGACTTACACTGAGAACACGGATGAGACACACACATAGGACATTTGTGAGTCCATGGAATAGGAGGGCAAGCAGAACTGCTCTGCGCTAACAGAAGTCTGGGTGGTAGTAACAGTGAGATGGGGAGGGAACACACTAGGGGTTTCTAGAGTCATGGGGGGGGGAAGATCTATTTCTTGACCTGAGGGCAGATATGAGTGTGTGCAACACACTGATCTGCACACTTGTGATACCAGCATTTCTCCATGTGAATTTTATATTTCAATCAAAAGCAAAACATACAGTGGCTCGGTCCATTAAGCATCTGTCTTCAGCTCAGGTCATGATCCTGGGGTCCTGGGATCAAGCCTGGCGTCAGGCTCCCTGCTCAGTGGGGAGTCTGCTTCTCCCTCTGCTCCTCCCCTGCCTCTATCAAATAATTAAATAAAGTAAAAAAAAAAAAAAAAAGGAAACAGAAATAATCCAAATGTTCACCAATAGGTGAACACACAAACTGGGACACATCCATACACTGGAAGGTTCGTCAGCATTAAACAGGAATGAGCTATGGACACATGTAGTGACCAAGATGGAACTCACAGCAATGACACCGGCAGAGGCCAGGCCAAGAAAGCACACCCACTGTGTAATTCCATTTACACAAAAGTCCACAAAATGTACACTCGTGTCTGGTGACAGAAAACAGAGCGGCAGTTGCTTAGAAATGGGAGGCAGAAGGAGCGGAAGGGAGAGGCCACAGAGACGCCTGGGGCGAGACGGGTGTGCTCACACTCTCGTTTGTGGTCCTGGTTTCACAGGTATACACAGAAGTCAAAATGTCAAACTGCAGGCTTTAAATGTGTGATGTTTAAGTGAGTTGAATGTCAATTATAACTCAACAAAGTGGTTTAAAAAGTAAAAGGAACGTGCATGTCAAATACAAACAGGAGGATAAAAATATCAAAACATGTAAATACAAACACCTGCTCACGGCTCCCCAAATGGCCCGCGAGGCCCTACAAAATCTGCACCACCACCCCCCACCCCGCCCCTACACTGTCTCCTCTCTCCCTCCATCCCTCCACCAGCCAGCTGGCTTCTCAGCTTGCAAACCTCTCTCCCCAGGTGTTTGCTCTCCCACCCAGCCTCTCTAAAGCCTCAAACCCACTCCCAGCCCTTCTCCTCTCTCATCCCTGACTCCCTGCTTTCGCCCCCCCACCCCCAACCCCACCCCCCGGGCCAGAAATCTTCACTTGTTTGCTGTCAGCTTCCCCTGAGATGGAAAAGCTCCACAAGGCAGAATTGTCTGTTTTGCTCCCTGCTGCATCCCCAGCATTTGGTGAAAGAGAGCATCAACAAGTCCCAGCACATTTCATTTCCACCAGGGGTCCCCAAGAGCCCCAAGCCTCGGCTTCTCTCTGCCACCACCCACTCAGGCCACAGAGTATTAGGTTCAGGTCCTCATCACCCTCACCTCCGCCCTCTTCACATCTCCAAACTGAGCTCTTGATCTACCCTCATCACCACCAATTCACCCTCTACCTAGCAGCACGAAGGGGCTTTCTATATTCAAATAAAACCTATCACCATTTGCAGGGCTTCTTGTCTCCAAGGTGTGGCTTACAAGGCCAAGTACCCTCGGCCTTGATACGTTCCCATGCTTTTCCCTACCCCTGTGCCTTTCCACAAGTCATTTCCTCTATAGGAAACAAAGTCTCTCTCGGCCACCTGGCAAATTCCTGTCATCCCTTAAAACCCCAGTTCAAATATTTCCTTTTTCAGCATAGGGATTTAGAACCAAAATCTTTGGGGCATCTGGGTGGCTCAGTCGGTTAAGCCTCTGACTCTTGATTTTGGTTCATGTTATGGTCTGAGAGTCCTGAGATGGAGCCCTGTACCAAGCCTCCCCTTTCCCCCTCCCCCTCCCTCACTCATGTGCACATGTGCACACACTCTCTCTCTCAAATAAATAAATAATATATAAATATAATATATATATATATATATATATATTTTTTTTTTTTTTGAGAAAGAGAGAGAGACCATGCAGAAGCCGGAGAAGGGTGTTGGTTAGGAGGTGGGGTGGGGAGTGGTAGCAGAGGCAGAGGGAGAGGGAAAGCAGACTCCCTGCTGAGTGCAGAGACTGAGGCAGGGTTCGATTTCCCAAACCTAAGATTATGACCTGAGCCAAAACCAAGAGTGGAATGCTCAACTGACTAAGCCATGCAGGTGCCCCAGAAAATAAATCTTAAAAGAAAAAAAAAAATCTTTGAAGTCCTATGAATGTGGGTTTAAATTTTAACTTAATGGTTCTAATGGTTCCATTTGTCAACCTGGCCTGTCTATGATGCTCAGCTGCTTGGTCAAACACTAGTCTACAAGGTATTTTGTGAATGTAATTAACACCGACTATCAGTTGACTTTTAGTAAAGGAGATCACCCTTGATAATGTGTTCAGGCCTCATCCAATCAGTCAAAGATCTTAAGAGCAAAATGTGAGGTTCACTGGAGAAAGAGAAATTCTGCCTCAAGGCTGTAATCAAGAAGCCCTGCCCGAGTTTCCAGCCTACCACTCTACCCCACAGATTTCAGATTTGCCAGATCCTACAATTGTATAAGACAATTCCTTAAAATATCTGTTTATTCTATTGGTTCTCTTTTCCTTCCTGGCCAATTTACTGGTTATGAACCCTAAGACCCACCTAACCCACTTATGCCTCGATTCATCATCTGTGTTAATAGTATCCATTGCACAGTGTTGTTAGGGGATTGAAGGAAACTTCACATAAAGCCCTTAGGCTAATGCTTGGCATATGTAAGTGCTCAATAAATAACTCCTAGCCAGCATCAGAAGTCCTCTGGTGGTGCCCAGTATCTTCTACTATAGCAGGTCTGGCTCTGTGGCACTGTTGGCCATGCACAGATCTACCCTCCTCTGCTAGACTGTGTGTGCCTTAAGGGCAAGGACAGTGTGGTATTGATTTTAGTTTACCCTACAACCGCTAGTATGCACCTGGTGCTCAATAAATATTTGCTGACTAGCCAAGTAGATGATTATCCACCAATGCCTAAATACTGCCATTATCCTGGAGGAAATCTGCTAGCCCAAAGTCTCTTGTGTTCCCATCACCCTGCCCCCAAAACATGACTCTTTCCCCGTGCCTTCCGAACAGGAAGGGGGAGCCCTCCACTTTCCTGCCCATTCCCTCTCTAGCCAGTATACTGAAAGTATGCAAAGTGGGGCTTTCCCTGCCTCACCACCTGGAACATATTTAGCAGCCCAGGGCTCACAGAGTCAATGGGGAAGAGGAAGGTTTGACTCCCATCCTTCCAGGGCCCACTCAGATGCCATGTCCTCCATAAAAGTGTCCCTTGACCTTCCTGGCTGGAAGTGACTGCTTTCTCCTCTGAGCACTCCTGGCTGTTTCCCCTTCTCCAAAGTGATGGGCATCTGGCTCTCCTGAGCCCCGCACACTGCAGGAGGCCAGTGTGTTTCTGTTGACTCGCTTGGCCAGTCAATCCTAGAAGCATACACACTTGGCATTAGAGCCCACGGAATTCATTTTTGTCACTCACTCAGTAATTATTTGCAGCATGTCTGCTATGTGCCCAATGCTGCATCAGGTGCTGGGGAGACAGAAGGGGACACAGTGGAACCAACTGAGGGCAGGCTTCATGGAAGAGAGAACACTATGCCCAGGGTTAAAGCACAAGGTGGAATTTGCCAGGGGACAAGATAGGGAGAGACAGAGAGAACTTTCCAGACTGACAACTCAGCCCATGCTGCCTCCTGCTGAGGCAGAGGTCACAAAAAGCCAAGGTATGTTCCCAGTTGTATGGAGAGAGGAAACAAAGTCAGGAAGCTCTAAGTTCCTTAAGCGGATGACCAACCCACATACAAGAAGAGCAAAATCCATCCCCTTAACTGGGCCCCTCGTTCCCATCAACACAGGAACCCAATATAGCCAGAATGGAGGGGGTGACACACGCAAGATCATGAAGGACTACAAGGGGCCTGACAGTAAAGTCTGCAGATTCCCCGGGCAATAAAACTTCCCTCCTGAGCCCCAGATATGCGATAACCAGCATCTAGTACACACTGTTCACTGGAAATCATTCCAGGGGGAGGCTGTTGGGCACAAGAAGCAGAGACAGGTTAGAATCAGGGGATCAAGGCTGATCATACCTTCATGGGGCTCACTTCCCCTGAGAAGGCCGTGGTGAGGGAGGAAGAGGCCAGGGGAGGCAGCTTGAAGGTAAAGGCAGGTGCTGAGAGAAACAAGCTAAAAGGGAAAAGGGCAAGTGGCCCAGCCTGCTCAACTGACGTTTGCCCTCTGCCTTCTAGGGTTTCCCCCAGGGAGGTCCTGCCTCCCTGCCTGCCAGCAACTCAACAGTTCTGCTCAGTCTTAGATTTGGGTGCTGCAGGAAGCATTTAGAAAGTGGCTGGAAGATGTGGCCTGTGGGCCACAGCTTGCTAAGCACCAGCCTAAGCCAGTCATGGCTGCCCTGTTTCCCTGGCCAGGCATTCATGTAAGCCAATTCAGCCAGTGAGATGTGAGGGGAACCCCACTGAAGGGTTTCTGAGCACCCTTCTACTTGCTCTTTATTTTTATTTATTTATTTGAGAGAGAAACCGAGCACGAGCCAGGCAGAGGAACAGAGAAGAGGGAGATGCAGACTCCCCACTGAGCAGAGAGCTCCATATAGGGCTCAATCCCAGGAACCTGAGATCATGACCTGAGCTGATGGCAGACCCTCAACTGACTGAGCCACCCAGGCACCCTTTTACTTGCTCATTAAAAAAAGGGAAGAAACACAAGGAAGAGATGGCTGCCTGGTCTTTTGCTATGCTTTGTTCTGCTAGGATGTGGTGACTAGGTCTACCACCGCCATCTTGGGACCATGAGGGGAGAACCCTGAGGGTGGCACGCAAGAGAGAAGGGAAGCACCTCTTCCTGACGTCGCCACCAAGCTGCTGAATCAACCAGCCCCAGAGCTCCCTCACCTCAGGACTTCTTATCATGGAAGATAAAATCATTATTACTGAAGCTATTTGAACTGCGGGCATGGCGGGGAGTGGCTGGAAAGGAACTCTCAGGCAAAGTCCACTCAAACCCAAGGACCCCGGGGCTGCCATGGTGAGAAAAATTTATACATCTTGTGTAACATGTGGCCACTTGATAGGTTTTCCAAGAGGAAGCCAGTTGTGGGCCTGTTTTCTAGAAAAAAAATCCAGTCAGAGCTGCCTTGCACTGTTTCCTGGGCCACATGTGCCTTACCATTCTTTTGAGCCAGGGCCTGGTCGATGAAGTCTGCAGCCCTTTCAAAGTAGGCGCTGAGGTTGAACTCCTGCGTGTCATTGGCCTTGATGCCCAGGTAGGTAATGCCGGAGTCCTTGTAGAAGTTGGCATTGGTGTTGACGTGCATGAAGGACCTGCCCTCAGCAGCATTCAGAACATGGGTGATGCCTAGTTTCTGCAGCTTGGGGATGTCTTGAGCCACAGACCTGGACAGGAGACAGGAGCAGGGGGATGATTACCTGACCACCTGGCAGCCCCAGAGGGAGGAAGATGGAGAAGATTCTAAGTCTCCTGGCAAAGCGAGGAAGCCTCCACGCTTGGCCCCTGCCAGCTTCCCCTCATCTCGTGACCCACCTCCCTTACTCCAGCCATATCTAATTACCAGCAGCTTCCCCAAATAGCTGGGGTGGTTTCAGCCCCATGCTGTTCCCTCTCTCTGGAATGCCCTTCTCGAGCTTCTCCATGGTCACACACCCTCTCATTTTCCATCAATATGCCCTGATCGCCCCCTCCATTCCATCTGGCATCATGTTCCCTATACTGTGGTGGTGGTACAGCCTACTGGCTCAAAACGGGCTCTAGAGTCAGACTGCCTGGGTCTGAGTCGAACCCTGAGACTTGCCAGCCAGGTAACCTTAAGCAAGCCACTTAACCTTTTGGTGACTCAGTTTCCCTATCTGTCAAATGAGGTTGACAACAATACCTACCCCCTGGGCAGAAGGATTAAATGATCTAGCCTATAGACAGAGCTTGACACCGTAGTCAGTGCTCTTCTAATGCCTGATTGTGATTATTTGTTCTGATGGGTAGGCTGTGAACTTTTGAGGGAGTAACCAGGTCTGTCTGCCCAGCACTTGCTATTGCACCTGGCTATAGGTGCTGAATGACTATGGGGTGAATCAGTGAGAAAGAATGAAATCAACACATCTTAGGCAGCCTCCTTCCTTGGACTATAAAGTGTGGCGGCCCCTCCAGTCCCCCAGAGGGGCCCTTTCCACCACAGACCACTAGCCACATTTCTGAAGCTCCCCTGGGTGAGTAAGCACTTGGGGACCAAGTGGCGCCAACAGAACTCTGGGGGTTATAAAACATTTGATCTGAATAGTCAAAGGGCTCCTTTATTTCATCTCCCAACAACATCCCAATTCAGACAACAGTTTATACTTTACAAAATGCCTTCTCCGACATGATCTTGTTTGCCTGTCACAGCAGCCTGCAAGGAAGCCAGGCCTGGGCTTAAGCTTCCAGGACAGTGGAAGGACAGTGCTGGGGCTCACATGGGATGCTTAGGGGCAGAGCAAGGAGAAGACCTGCCACCAGCCCTGCTCGGTCTTCCCCTCACTCTGCCTGCAGATCCTGAGATCTAGAAAATGAGGCTCATACAGACTCCTCTCCAGGCCCTATGAGCCCTGATTTGGTTCAGGGGCTCCCTATGTGCAGGAGTACCCCCACACCCCTGGCCAAGTCAAAGCCAGATTCACTAATTGGGCTGGGGATGTGTTTCTCTACAGTGGCCACCGGCACTTTCCACTCTGGCTATCACCAGACATCCACCGCCTTGGTTTCCACTTGGGAAGTAGGGGCAGCTGAATGTGCCAAACTGCCCCAGACAGCAGGTTCTCCAAGGCACCAAGGCCACTTGCTGCTGGGGTGGCTGGACAGAGCACTATCCTCTGAACTTTGCAATTACGGAGCACTTCGGCTAAGGCCCTGGGACTGTTTCAGCTGTTCCTGCTCATGACACTGCACGTGGTTGTTAAACAGCGGTTGATTAAAAAAACAAATAACTCTGAAGGTGAATTTTCATTCACCTCCCTTCTCTACTTCTAATTCAGCGTTCAACAAATTTACCGTTACCACTACTATCACTATGAATGTGCACTGTAAATGCCGAACACACAGTAGGTGCTCAATATGGTGAATGAATGGGTGGAATGGATGAGACAGTCCCCACGAAGGCAGGGCCTGCCTTAGGACCCCTTCTTGCCCGGCGATGACCCTCATTTTTGTGGCAGCCCTTAGCAGGGTAAGCAGCAGGTCCTAGCACAGGACAGGGGATACAGACATGAACAAGGCATTGTCTCTGTCCTCACAGTCACTCAACCACCCTGGGCCACCATTTCCTCCTGGGTAAAAGGGGAGAAGGGAGTTAGTTCTGGGTTTCTAACGCAGACCCTGGCCCATGGAACTTAGGGCGTTGGTAAATCAAACCCTATCTGAAAGGCAGAGGAGGGAGCAAGGAAACCCCAGCCCAGCTCTCCGGATCCCTCATTGGGAGTATTTCCATTCCTTGATCTGGCCTGCCCAGCCGGGAAAGTTCCACGCCCGATCTGTGACGTCAGCCAGTTGCCATGGCAGCGAAGGCAGACATTCCGCGGTGACCTCACTGCAGAACCAGGCAGATGTCACATGACGCGCGGGCTGGAGACCGGCCGGGTGACAGAGGGCCACCTGTTAAGTGATCCCGGTAGCCCGACCCCGCCCAAGGCCAAGCCCCTAGCGGCTGGCGGCTTCGGGCCGGACGCCCGGGAATCCGGGCCCCCCGCGAGGGGGAGGACGCGCGGGGCCGGGGCGGGGTCTAGCCCCTCCGCCCCAGTGCGCGGGGGCGGGCGGCGACTCCAGCCCCTGCCCGGCCCCCGCGGGGCTCCCGGAGGGCGGCCACGCCCCGCCCCCCCCCCCCCAGCGCCCGCAACGCCCCGACCCCGGCTTTCGGGTGGGCGGGGCGCCCCAGCGGCGACTCACGCGTTGCCCACGTAGATCCTGGGGGTGACCTCGTTGCAAGGCTGGCTCGGCAGGCTGTAGCAGCCGCTGCCGTCCGACAGCAGGTCGTTGAGGTCCTGCACCGAGAGCTCGAACGGGCCCGACATGGCGGCGGCCGGGCCCTGCACGCCGGGGCAGCAGCCTGCGAGGGGAGAGCCGCCGGGTCAGCTGGGCGGGGGCTCCGAGCGGGGACCGCCCCGTCCCGCCCCGGAGGCGGGCCCGCGGGGCGCGGGAAAAGGCGGGGCGCGGACCGGCCGCGCGCTCTGCTCCCGGCGGGAAGGCGCGTCGCCGCCGCGGGCCGCGCGGGCGCTCGGGGGCCCCGGGCCTGTCCCCGCCCCGCGAGTTTCGGGGGATCCTCGGAACCCCCCACGCTGGGGCCTTTTCTGCATCATTACAAACGGGAAAGTGCAGTAACATTGGACTAAACGCAGGGCGCGATCAACGTTCCCACTGACCGGGGCGCACACACAGGGGTCGCCTAGCTCTTCCAGGATTACCGGGACACCCGGATCCCGCCTAGGAGCCCTGACTCTTGCCTGCTGGGGACCAGCGGCACTGACATCACCGGGGTGCTTGTCAGAAATGCGAAACCTCCGCCCCAGCCCTGCCCAACGAGAATGTGCATTTTACAGCCCCCGCCCCCGCGATCCTTACAAAGGTTAACGTTTGAGAAGCCCAACTCTGAGGTACATTTCTTCCAGTATTTACTGAGAGCCAGCATCGTGCTTCAAAGCTTGGGCTCTGTGCAGCCAGCGTGGCAATGACCCTGGAGAATTACTTAACCTCTCTGAGGCGGCTGGGGGAGAAAAAATGAGAACACTAGTACCTAACTCCTAGGGTTGTTTGAAAGATTTAATGTGACACTCAAGGAGAGCGCCCAGCACTGTACAGTGAGGACTCAGTTGGTGCCCTCCCTCTACATCAGCCAATGTGATGAGCACCCACTAGGTGCTACTACGCCTGTACTAGGGTGGAGCGGAATCAGGTTCCTTTGCAGCCCTTCCAGGAGCAACTAACTGCCAGCCCACCATGAGCCACATCAGTGTTGGCAACTCCTCATTTGCTGAAATCCCACTAAAGGCAGAAGACAGTCTCTGTCCTCCCCTACTGCCCATGGCTGTTTACCCCACCCCTCGAAAAAAGCAAATGTCCTAGGAATTCAGGAACCAACCCCTCCCCCCACCCTGAGCCCAGCCCTGCTACTAACTTGCTTCTTGAGCAGCAGAGCAGGCTGTTACTTTGGACCTCAGTTTCCTCATCTGCAAAATGAAGACACTGGATGAGATTATCGTTAAGGTCATCTTTCACCTCCCCGCCCCAAAAGCTTGTGATCTCACACCTCCACAAGATCCACTGTAGTGGAGACTACTTAGCTTGTAGTTGAAGGTATGTAACCAAGGCTAGACTTCTCCATCCCCACCCCCTAACCCCCACCTGGTGCCTTCCCACCCCTCCCAGCACATCACACCTTTTCCCACTGGTGTTGGTGGCATCCACGTGCCAGGCAGGTGGGAGAGATTCTGAGTCTTGCCCTTCATCTTGACTTGGACCTGTGTTAGCTTTCAAACAGAAGCCCCGGGATCGTCAGGCATGCTCTGCTTCTCCTCTTCCTTCCCCTGGACCTGTCCCTGATGTCATAACAGGGTAACTATGACAACCTGTCATGGGGACCGCTAAGTACCTCACAGAGGAGCCTGGGTGCCTCATTTCTTAAATGAGACTAGGAAGAGAAGATGAACAATTCCCTGGATTATCTAGCCTACCCTGTAATCGTCTCTAATCACAGACAGAGCACAACCTTCAGGAAAAAACTGGACTTTGGCCACTACATATTTCACAAGAATAGAATACAAATAGGTATGTGGGCAGTTGGGGCGAGACACCACGATTAGGGGTCTGGAAGGGTCCACCTTACAGATATTGACAGTAAACCAGCATAGTATGACCTTGTAATGGTTGGTCTTATCTGCTGGGTTGGGTTGGGTGAGGTCAAGAAGACCATTGGCGTCAGTGACAAAATTTACCTTCCACCAGGAGTTCAATGGATGGAAATGCTCACTCAAACTCTTTAAAACCAAAGTCAGCTAGAGAGGGAGTGGAACTCCAGCTCCCAACAGGCTAGTTGCATTGGGAAAGGATGGGAAAGACTCTTTCATGTGTCTGTTTTACCCATTCTGGCCCTCACCTTCTGTTATTTGTGCTAAAAACTCTTCGAAGATGCCAGTTTGGGAAATGTAGCTAACCTAAAATTCCTGAACTGGGCAAAGGTCAATTCAAAATCATCACATTAATGAGTCGGGGAGGTTGTCTAGGATGTGAGCAGGCTTTTTGAGGCGGCTAAGAGGACTTCTGTATGGTAACATAGATCTCTCTTATCCTTCTCTAGTGAAACCAGCTGTTGATACCAAACCTCCAGCGGCGCACACACATCACATTTTAAAACTGAGCAAACTACAGGTACTTGTTGTTGCCATCTGCAGATGTACTTTATTGATTTCTGTCTATGTCCTGAGGAAGTCAGGTTCCCAGAGCCTTATAAACACCCACCATTCCAGAGACTTATTAAGATGCTCTACCCCTTGCACACCACACCCGTTCCTACACTCTGCTCCCAGTCTCCACTGTGGCCCACAATTTCCCCCTTTCCCACCATCCTGGAGAAGGGTGATGCTGAGCATTTGGGTGTTGGACAATGTCACCATGGTGGAGTGTGGTTTCTTACCAGGGTGAACAAAAGCGGATCGACAAAATCGAATACGAAAACAAGCAACTGTGTCAGAAAATCGCCAATGCCCATCGTGGCCCTGCCAAGGTGGATTGCTGGAACGAATATTTTTCCAAGAGGTAGCATCCTTTCTCATCTTTTCGTTTTTGGAAAGTCAAAATTGACTTTTCCCTTGTTGGGTTTTAGTGCAAGGTTCTCATGAGCAGGAGGTATACTTGAGAGATGGTATCTCGATGGGTAGCCAAAGCGACCGGGTTAAGGAGAATGAAAACTATCCAAAACGGAGATCTTTCTCTGGTGATAAAGGGATAACTTTTATTGCATCTAAGAGACTTTTTTGAAGTCCTATTCAGAGTTGGTCACAAGAAAACACTGCATGCTTTTGTAGAATGGTGACTGTAGCTGGGACTGACACAGCATTCTTTTTTTTTTTAAAGATTTTATTTATTTATTTGAGAGACAGAGCACAGGTGGGTGGAGGAGGAGCAGAGGAAGAGGGAGAAGCAGGCTCCCCACTGCACAGAGAGCCCATTGCAGGATTTAATCCCAAGACCCTGGGATTATGACCTGAGCTGAAAGCAGATGCTTAACCAAGTGAGCCACCCAGGTGCCCCTGACACAGCATTCTTAAGGGTCAGTTCCTCAAATATTTCCTGAGGAACTACTATGTGCTAAGTCCTATGAATACAAAGATGAAAAGAGATATATATTTTTTTTCCTAACATCAAAAAATTCAAGACCTATTAGGGGAGATGTTTATGTAAATAATAATGGAGAATAGCCAGGGCTACAAAAGAAGTGTATGCAGGAAAGAATCTGGTGGATGTGTGTGGATGTGTGTGTGTGTGTGTGTGTGTAGGAGGGAGTGTCAAGATACCTTTCCTATATCCTTATATATCTGAAACAGTTAACAGGTGAGATGAAGTGAAGCAAAATTGTCACCAGCCTTTTGTGATGTGTCCATAGGCAAGACCTTCCCTCATCATATAAACCAGACATTCTCCGTCCTGGTTTCACATAATAATTCCTAGGGTGCTTTTACAAAATGCCAATGCCCAAGCTGCACCCAAACCAATAAAGTAGAAACTTCTAGTGGACATCAGGGTTGAAAACTGCTGATATAAACCTGCCAATGTTGTGCACACTCCCCAGAGTGTAGTCTAGTTCAACAGATGTATGGGGTCTCACGGCTCAGTGAGAAAGTCTGTTCTCTGCACTTAGGCAGCACGGGTTTATGACATTACTAGTTCATTCAAGAAGGGAATTTTACTCTTTGACCATCTCAGGATTTTGTGTTTTTCAGTTTAAACAGAGAAACAAGGAACCGAGAACTAGTGAGAATCACCGTGGAAAACCAGGGCATTCTGAAGAGGCTTAGTGATCGCAAACCCCACTATGACTGCAGGTCATCCGAGATGGACTGGCAGGCACGTGGCTGCTCTGTGTCTCCTCCTTGCGCACACACAGTTCGTCTGTGTTCAGAATAGAGTCAGTTGCAGAAGAGCCTCCCTATGCGGCTGAGGGAGAGATCATGAAAAATGCAGTAATTGGTAAAAGAGAAAGCACCCAGAGCAAACAAAGCTAATGACAGGAGCGAACCATCCAGGAGCTAACCCATTTGCTCCTTGGGAGCAAAGCCACCATGCGTCAGTTTCAGAAAATATCTGGTAGCATTCTCCCTCAAGCTTTAATTCATTTAAAAAAAAAAAGACAATGTATAAGCAAAAAGGAGGGAAGGGTACATGATGCAGTGTGTAGTTGATTCCCTTCATTTAGGAATGACCTTTCAAGAAGGAAAAAGGAAAAACGCCTTCTGCATTTATTTTATTTTATTTTTTATTCTTTTTAAGATTTTAGTTATTTATTCATGAGAGACACACAGAGAGAGAGAGGCAGAAACACAGGCAGAGGGAGAAGCAGGCTCCATGTAGGAGCCCAACTTGGGACTCGATCCCAGGTCTCCAGGATCACGCCCTGAGCTGAAGGCGGCGCTAAACTGCTGAGCCATCAGGGCTGCCCTATTTTATTTTATTTTTTTTAATTTTATTTATTCATGAGAGACACAAAGAAAGCCAGAGGGAGAAGCAGGCTCCCTGCAGGGAGCCTGATGTGAGACTCGATCCCAGGACCCTGGGATCACAACCTGAGCCAAAGGCAGATGCCCAACCACTGAGTCCCCCAGGTGCCCCCTGTGATTTTTTTTGTTGTTTTTTTTAAAAACAACAACAACAACAAACTAACCACTCCCTGCCTTTAGTCTGTAAGCCTTTTCTAAGCCAGCCTTAGGAGCTAGAACTTCAACTTTAGCACCAGCCCCCTGGCATTGACATAAATCTGATTTTCTCCCTTTAAGAATTCAAGACGCTATATCAGAAATACGACAAGGTATCTTCTCTCCCGAGCTGATTAGGTATGTCTTACCACGGCTGCTTCTTATT